AATATCAAGAGACGGAAGAACTAAAGATAAAATTATTTTGTTAGGGATTTAGTATTATATGTTATTTCATCTTATTTACGACTTGGCCGTGCACTTAATTTATTTGCAATAAGGCTGTGCCATGCCTACCAACATAATTTTCAAGAATTGAATTCCATCCATCCATTACCCAATACAGAGTCACAGAGAACTGGATTCAGGTTCTGGTAAATTGGTTCTTGCAAATTCAATTTTTGCAAAGGCTACATCAGCAATACAAATTGATTTCTTTTTTTAAAAAAAGGTTTGCAATAAAATGAATTCCAGACTTGAATGAGTTGGCCACACATTTACTTTTAATAATAATTCCTTACACTTACAGTATACTGTAAAGCGCTTTTAAGGACACTCCACTCAAAGCACTTTACAGGTAATGGGGACTCCCCTCCACCACCACCAATGTGCAGCCCCCCCTGGATGCAATGACAGTCGGAGTGTGCCAGTACACTCACCAAACATCGGCTATCAGTGGGGAGGAGAACAAAGTGATGAAGCCAGTTCATAGATGGGGATTATTAGGAGGCCATGATTAGCAAGGGCCAATGAGAAAATTTGTCCATGATGCCGGGGCTACACCCCTACTCTTATCAAGAAACACTCTGGGATTTTTCATGACCACAAAGAGTTGGTTTACGTCTCATCCAAAGGACGGCACATTTTTATAGTATAGTGTCACTATATGGGGGCATTAAGACCCACACAGACCACAGAGTGAGCGCCCCCTGCTGGCGCCACTAACACCTCTTCCAGCAGCAATCTTGGTTTTTCCCTGGAGGTCTCCCATCCAGGTACTGAAGAGGCTCACAACTGCGGAGCTTCAGTTGGTTGCTAGTTGTGAGTTGCAGGGTGATATGGCTGTCTTTGCTAATGTGCAACCATAACATGAATAATGATCCATGTTGCACAACATATGAATAACCACATCCAGCAATATTATTTTCTTTCAATAGCTTGTTGAATTTTTCCCCAGATTTTTGTATCTAAGGCATAATTCAGCCTTTCCACTATACTTGGGTTATTTTTTAAAAAAAACACAAGAGAACCTCTGGTAATTATTTCATCAAACAGCATATTTTGTAGACTTCACTACTGAGTTTAGGCCGCGATGTCCTAATTAGGAAATAAAACAACAACAATCAGTAGGTAGCAACACCCTTAATTTTTACAAGGGTAGAATGATATACGTTTGTCACATTACAAAGCAATATTATTGTATGAGATGTAACATGGCAGCTTCTCCTAGGCTCCTCTGAATCACTGAACAGATTTCCCAGTTTCAGTGAATACACTGGCTTTATTCAGTCCAACTGGTAAATGTGGAAAAAACAAAACAAAATGACTGCTTCTCAAGAAAAAAAGAATCTCTCACCACAGTACCTGTGTACTTTGCAGAAATCATCATTTAAAAGCTACCAAGCTTTACAGCCATCCCCTTTGATGGTGTTAGACAAGACAAATGACAGAAGACAAAAAAACTGTGCACTATTAAGTTGCCTTGCATATGTGAAAGACTTAGCATTCATTCATAGTGAAAGCCTCAGCTTGTGCACACACTGAAGAAGGCAATGAGTTAGGCTGGTAAAAAACACATCTTCCTTTTCCACAAAGGATTGGAAAAAAAACACTGAAGAACACCTGGTGGTTCCAGTCTAAGCTAAGATATTACCTGACAGCAGTTGGGATTCCCTGAGTGTACAATCGGTGTTGACTGTGCCAATTGTTGGGAGCTCCCTCAGATATCAAGAGCCACAGCAACTTCCAGGATCCACAGGCACCTCAGAGCCCACAGAGACACCCACTGCTAGCATGCTCTGCATGCAAGGTATCCCCAGGTGGGCATGTGGGCCTATGCAATACTCTGATCCCCCTACACAGTGGTCTAATTTAAAATTAACAGTGCGTATACACTGCCCGATAACGTTTATACTAACAAGCTGAAGGAACAAACTTTTTAGTCCTGTTAAGACTGAAAAGAACTTGATATAAGTATTCACAATCTTTTGGAATTGACAAAGTAAGCCATGTGGACTTCGGAATCAAAAGTGAAACATGAAGTGCAGGGCACAAAAGGAAACTACTGTAAATACAGCAGAAGCACATTTAAAGCCAAGAACAGGAGACACCTGTTTGTGGCATTTGCTTTACCTCTACTTTTCATTTCAGAGTAAATATATTTCATGCATTTGCATAGCAAAAGTATATTTCATAGCAACTTATACAACATGACACGGGAGGTGAAGCAAGATTGTAAATGTGATGTAGTTGCATCACATGGTAAACTATAAGGCTGTTTCAAACAGTTTAATGAAAACCCCTCTTTTCTTACATGGTTGGAGGAAGTGTGCTACAGAGTAAAAATATATGAAAGCTTGTGGGAAGCTCAGTTTTTCAAAATTCTCAGAAGATACAAAATAAAAGCAGGACTGCAGGCACCCAGATCAGGTTTAACCAATGGTATGAAAATCATTTAGCTCTGCTTGTATTCAAGGACGGATCTAAATACAACAAGATCTAACTGGATAATGCTATGGGACAAATACCAAAAGCTATCTGTCCCCTTAGTTATTACCCCATGTTGATCTGAAATGTAATCTCATTGTCTGGCTAATTTATATCAATTGCAGGTTAGCTGTCAAAAGGTAAAAGTTTCTCTGTGGTGCTTTAGGTCAAGTAGTGAATATCAAATGCCCCTTGCTTTAAGCAATTAAATGCAAAACATGATGCTGTACTTTATAGTACACAGTATAGGAAGCAAATGTGAAAACTGGGAGTTGTGTGCATTCTACTCACTAAGCTGTGTGGAATACTGATCAAACATACATTAAGAGATTTATTTCCAAAGCATATTGTTTCAAAGCAAAGGTCCATGTTTTAGATCTCCAGATAAATCACATTTAAAGACCCCAAACTGTGCTCGTCTGAAACCAACATTTTTGTTTAAAATGCCACTTCAAATGTCAGCACTTGATCGACTGGCAAGTACTATCAACAAATTAAAAGCAAATTCTCCAAAGTGATAAGCTTTGAAAATCTTCCCGAAAGTCACCTAGGTGCTCAACAAAGCTTAAAAATATTTTCATTGTGGATCTACAGGACTTGCTACCCATAAGTGTAGAAAGGTTAAGCCTGCGTCACAAAGTCAGATGAAACATCTCTGCAGTCGAAAAAAATAGTGCAGTCAGAAAAACAAACGAGCGCTTAAAGTTTTTGCTGTGTGGAAAATCTAACCAATATAAAAATCCCTTAGAGAGATCCCTTTATAATTATTTCCAGGCGGTTCTGTGGACATCATTCCTGTTTTATCACTGACCTCACATTTACAAAACAATTGGTTTATTAAACATTTTTTAATGCTTACGAGCCCAATGTCAGATGAACTCAAACTGTGAAAGAACCTTCAAAAATAGATTTGGTCACGCTAAGCAATTCCATGGCCTAGAAGGAATGAAAACCAGCTATCAATATAATCCACAACAGGAACTGGGGAGATCATCCTTAGAAGAGGTACTAGGGTCAAACAAAGAATTTACCAGATAGTCTAAATGCCTTACTTCAGGAAAGAATTCCCATAACCTCCAGCAGTCATTTGGATCAATCACCAACAAAAAATTAAAAAGACAAATGAATAACTATACTGAAAACACTTAGCCTGGACAATGATGGGAAATAGTGTTTAAAGGACTAAGAGTCTGAGCAGAGCTTTTTAGCTCCAGGAAGGTTATTTGGCTGTCACTCCCCAGCTTGGAAAGCCAATATATAAGTAAACCGAAGTTGCAATCACAGAATGAAGCTACCGCATCAGCAGAGGAGCATCAGTAGATAACGCCCTCATCTGGTAGATTCTGGTTTTGCTGAATGCCAACATCTGAAAAATGGTCCTCAGAACAGACTTGAATTGCACTGCCAGGGGCCCTGAGACCACTTGGCTGCCTTACCAGAAATATAACTTTTACCAGGAGAGAACATCCCTCTCCTGATAGAACATGCGCTGATGAGTGCTAAACTGATGCGCTTCAGGCCATAAAAACAGGCAGATTAAGTCTTAATGCCATCTGTCACAAAGCACAAACACAAAATGGGGATAGAGAAACCAGTGAAAAGAGCAGGAGTCATACATGGGTTTCGCCTTTAAATCTAGACAGAGCTTTATTGTTCAGGTCCATTTACAATATATACCTTTTTTATACTTTTTATTGTATAGCATTTTAGATACTGTTCCATAAAAGACATTACTGTATATGAAATAAGTTATTCTTTTATACCTATTCTTTATATGCAATCTCAAATTGGCCATCTTTATGTGTGAAATGGCTTCTTTTCACTAAAATGTTTTTTTTAGGATTTAGTTTTCCTGACCTTTTGTATTGTCTTGTATTTGTCCAATCTAAAACTGGCTATTGTATAGGTATGAAGTTGCAACTTCAGTAAGTAACTTCCTTTTCACAAAAAGCAAAAAGTCACCTAATGCTGTGTATTTGTTAAAAATAAAACACAATGCAGAGTGAAAATAACCATCTCCCTTTCGGAATGGAGCAGGATGATGAGCTGTCATACAGAGCAGTATAAATTACTCAGACAAACACTGCCTGAAATTTTCCATTCCTAATGAACTTCACACATACACTGCACTGCTGCAATAGTCTGCAGATACCCAGCATGCTTACCAAAAACTGCCAATGAGCATAAAAATAAATACAGGCTGATAAAACTGAACTAAGACTGAAGAAAAGTGTTAGTAATAGCTTTTTCCAAAGGGAAGTTCAGAATCTGAAAATAGATATTCTGCATACTTGTCCAAGTCTGCAACATAATCACAAACGTAACCAACACAGGTTAATTTTTGTTTTCAGAAGCACAATGCTTCTCTTCTCAAATCTTAAGCATTGTCAACTTCTTCCCAAAGCTGTTTGCAAATTACAAGTTCTAGTAAAGAAAACCATGGTACAAGGCGTGGCACATACCAAACACTTCGTTATCGTCTGTGGGTTCTGCTTCAGTCAAGGACGGACTAGGTCCCGCTTGTGGAGAAGACTGAAAAAAAGATATAAGGTTAATGAAAAATTAAAAACTAACACAATCGATAGAGTAAAATAATAAAACAACCAATCTGTTTAGATGCATGATGTTTTAGCCATTAAACTCAATTGATGTATTACTTTGCCTAAAATAAGTAAAGGAGAAGGCCTCACCAGCATTACTAGACCTATACCACCCTGGACATTCTGGGTTACAGTAACCATGGTTACACTTGCAGTGCAGAAGGAATACACTGTCACATGGCACTAGCTACTTCAACAAATGTGTATACAGGAGCCTTTTAAGGAACAAGAACAAAACAATTAAAATAGGTCACAGCATAATATTGATTAATTGAGTTAAAAGCATCATACGCATATAGCAGCTGTAAGAGGAAGAAATGCTCAGTCCTCACTATCGCCAACTGCTGCACTGTCTACAATGTTTTCCCCCCTCATTACATGACAAGACTGCACAATATGTCTCAATATTTGGCTTGTGACTCAGGCAAATGCGTTTTAAAGTTTTCACCAGAACACATCTGTAAAACTAAATGAAAACTTTGTTTGCAAGGGGCAGGGCGGACTTGTATATGCATATTTACTTTAACAGGCTGCCAAGAACACAGTGCTTGTAAAAATGTCAGGGTGTTTCAATGGATAGCGAAATTTGATTTAGAATGAAATACAAGTTAACTAGTATTTCCATGTGTTTAAATAAAAAAAAAAAACTATATATATTATAATACAAGCAGAAGTTATAGAAAAAGATCAAGAGATCTAATTCTGATTTAGCTGAGGCTAAAGACATTTCAATAGAGCCTAAGTCATAAAAATCACTCCTGGCAATGCACCTGGGTAAAAGATGAACTCAAATTCAATTTTTTTTTAATTGGCCTCAAATCAATAAAAGCACTTTGATATGGGACCATTAACCCTAACATAAATGGTACACCACCGTATTAAACACAAGGCCATTTTTGCAACAAGCACTGCTGTTGTATCTAATAAAAAGATACATGTAATTCCTTACATCAGGAGAAAGGATTTCTTTCAATTCACATAATAATTCACCACTGCTCAGGATTTCACTTTGCTTTCAGTGACTATCAATGTAAAAATAATAAACCTGCTTCAGTTTTATACTCCAGCCCTATCTACCAGTCCACAATCTGATAACCTGATAAAGGCTTAGACACTGCAAAAAGAAAATTGCATTGAGAACAAATAATTTCCCCAATTCCAATTTAATAAAATAGTGAGGCTCTATTACAAAAATGTTTCCAACAAAAAAATGGTCTGATGAAGCTTTCTGTAAAACTGTTTGCATTACCTTTAAAAAAAACAGGAGAGATAACTATTAAATAAAATCTACTACTTATATTATTCTGTATTTCTTACATATTTCCTTAAGGTGTTACTGACCTGATAGTCCTATGAAACATCAGATATAAATTAAAAGATATATAAAATGTAATTCCATTTGCTTTCCAATTGATTTCCAATTCCATTAACTTCAAGTTATATTACTAACAATATTAGCTTTTCAGTTCTCATGCAAGACAGATTTTATTATTTAACAGCTGCCCATAAAAAGATTATCATCAACCAGGGGTGGGACAGCCATTATGCACTAGTATAATGACTACATAGTGAATCAGGGAATGGCAAAAAGGATGGCAGAGTGAATTTCAGCAAGTACACTGTGGATAGTACTCCTGCTCTTACAGCCAGTCACAAGGGACCTGTAATGCCAAAATAATTAGAATCTGCACATAACATTTCCACCTGTCACAATACAGGGACATGAGCGAGAAAATAAAATTCTGCTCCAGAGAAAAGAGCATCATTTACTGGCCCACCATGCATAACAGCAACCTAAATTTTCCTTTCAATTCTTCTATCTCCGTACAGATTAAACTCAACCCTGCCCAACTTCTGGGATCAGGCTACAGGTGGGAGCAAGTCTCTGGCGAAATAAGAAAACTGGACTGTTGTTACCACCTGGGACTGAGTCAGCAAACTCTTGTCTAGGCAGAATGCTTTATCTGCACGTCGAACATCCCACAGGCCAAGCGTTACATATCTTTACATAATGTTACATGTCAGAATGAAGTCACTAGTGCTTGTCAAAACTTTCTCATTTGACTACCTGACATTTCAAGGTGCATGTACTGCTTAGCAAATGATTTTGTGCTCCATCAAGCTTGCAGCTATCAACACAAACACACTGCTTCTTCATGAAGCAGGAGTCAGGAATAGTGCTAACATCTTCACTATCTCAGACTTCATTGTCCAGAAATACTGTGGCTTAACTTTCCAGGCTTTGGCCTAAACATTCTGGCCAAATCATTTTTTTTTATTTTTCAGTCAACAAACCAAAAGCTGACCAACTTGTAATTGCAACAGATAGTTTTATGATTTTAATACTATTTCAACATAATATTAATATAGACACAGTAAGTACACTATGCACATGTATACAATAACAGGTAGTTTGTATCACAATTTAAGATGAATACATTCTATTTTCTAGATGTGGAAAAGGGATAACCAGCAATTGAAGTCATCATGTGACTTTATTTAATTTCAGTTGTCTTGCTTTGTCATTATTGCACATATTCATGACAGAGTGCTCCTTGCATTTACTGCAATGGGGTCACTGTGTTAAACTAGAGGAAGTATTATTCATCATTTTGTAAACATTTTTATTTTTATCTAACTGCAGCCACAGAAGCAGATTTGTCAATGCAGGCCAAACGGCGAAGGCTATAATAAATTCACACAAATTCAAAAGAGCTTTTTTAATATCCGATTCCAAGCTTTCTCTTATACAGTACTTCATTTATCAGGGGACATTAGAACATCCTTTAGGGATGTATGAAATAGGCTGTGGTGAAAAAAAACAACATCTTGAAGGTTTGTGGAGGACCACCTACAGGCTTAAACAGCAGACCTTCTGTACAGGATCGTTGTCTTATTTCTATTGTATTGAGAGGTAACAGTCATCCTACAGTTCCCCCCCATCAACAATATGTTAAATCTGCTTTTCTTCCTTTGACTTAACAGCATAACACATTCATGTTATTCTTTGCAACAAAACAAGAGATTAATAAAGAGTTGCTGACCTCACCTCCTGCAGCCATGACAACTACACCCACTCCTGCTTTCACAGGCTTGAACATTCTACTACTGCTGATGCCACCTAAAATTTACCACCTGCATTTTAGACTATTTTCTATACCACTGCTCATATGTAATGTGTCTGATCTTGCCTTATAGTTACTAATCCTATTTTCAATTGGACTTTTCTCAACATCGGTAACGGACAGTAGAAGCTTATCTTGTATCTTGAGCAATTACTTAAATGGTAATTCAAATCTCATTTTAAGCTTAACAAAGCACATTAGCATATGCAGAAAATGTTCTACCTTGATTTCGTTTTTAATGACTGAAGAAGTGCCAAAGAGTTGAATGCCCTTGCTAAGCTGTTCACTCAACCCTCACAGGTTTAATATCCATTTAAGGTTACAAGATTAGATGAAGATTCTGCCATCATCTAGTAGAGAAGGAATCGTGTCAAAATCAGCCACAGGAAAAAAAAAAGACAAACAAAATGACATTACTATGCCTAGGCAGGCCAAAAGAGGGGAAAAATACTTTAATTATAAATATATACTTTCAAGCACAACTGTTTAATATTGCTGTAACATTTAACATGCCATTCTCAAATATTTAGAGATTTGATAAATGAATGAAGGACATGCACACAAATAGCTTTACTCAGTTTTAGAAAAAGATTAACTAGCAAACTATTTTTGCGTCACAGATGATTTGATATTACTGGCCCTATTTCTGGACATCTTGGGTGTATTACAAAAGGAAGTGAGTCAAGTTCTAAACAGGCACCTAACTATCACCATACAACTCAACTGGCAACCCACAAAAGCTAAGTGGGTGTGAGCCCTGGTTAGTACATGGACGTAGAAAAAATAAGGTTGCTGCTGAAAGAGGGTGTTAGTGGGGCCAGTAGGGGGCACTCACCCTGCTGTCTGTTTGATCCTAATTTTCCTGTACAGTGACAGGGATACCATACTGTAAAAAAAGAGCCATCCTACAGATGAGATGTAAAACCAAAGTCCTGACTCTCTGTCGTCATTAAAAATCCCAGAGCATTTGTCAAAAAGACTGGGGGTGTAAGCCTGGCATCCTATTCTTGTGCTTGCCATAAACAAAAATTGAAGAGAGAAGCAATGAGGAAAGGGGTGACTGGTTTCTCTGTTGGATGATATCCGATACAGGTCTGTCTTGCTTTCTTTACGAATGACAGCTGAAACAGAAGTATGCCCAGGGGTCAACACAATGTAAAGGACAGGGTCCTTAATGCACTATAGATCTGTAGAATGTAAGGGGGTGCAATGAGAAACCAGAGGATCATTTCCAGGAAATCTGAAAAGCAATACTTAATCAGCCGAGATCTGTAATTTAATCTGTACTTTGCAACCGGCCAAATTAAATGCATCCAAATGATATTATTGGTTCTGGTCAACTGATTTGTTGGATTCCAGCTTAGCTGATTGGTTCTACACATAAGTTAGCCGGCGATATGATAACATAAGCTATTAAAGTGCTAAAGATTGTGTGACACTGCCAGGTGATTAAGGTAAACAGAAACAAACTGTCATTATAAAAAGCCAAATTTTAGACGTTTAAGAAGTACCACAAACACACAACAAACCAGACTAAGCACCTCTTTGAGCTAGTGAACAGACCTTTTCTGTTTCCACACTATATACACTGGGTGCCCACCAGCTTCCACAGTCACCTTTTGAGACTCCCAGAAGTCAGTCTCTCTCCAAGACCGTTCCAAAAACACACAGCTTCTACAGTCTCATGAACGCAGATGTTAACCACCATGGAAGCCTCAGCTTTGTTTGTTTTGTTTTTTTGTTACCTGACCTGGTTTGGTGACTGAAGATCACAAATCATTCCCCATAGCATTCTGGTAAGAATATT